CCGAGCAGGGAGCCCGATGTGGGACTCGATCCCAGGACCCTGGGATCATGACCTGAGCCGAAGGCAGACGCTTAACGACTGAGCCACCCAGGCGCCCGACAGTTTGGTAGTTTCTTATAACGTATACTTACCATATGACCCAGTGGTTACACTCATAGGTATTTACCCAAAAGAAATGAAAACCTATGTCCATACTAATACTTGTACATGGATTTTCATAGCAGCTTTCTTCATAACTACCAGAAACAGGAAACAACTCAAATATCCTTCAGCTGATGAATGGAGAAACCAACTGCGGCACATCCATATGATGGAATTTTACTTAGCAATTGAAAGGAATGAATTACTGATACATGTAACAAAATGGATAAATCTCAAGAACATTATGCTATGTGAAAGGAGCCTGACACAAAAGTCTACATGTTATTTGATCCCACTTGTGTGAATGTCCAGAAAAGGCAAAACCATGGGACGCCTGTGTGGCTCAGTCGGTTAAGCGTCTGCCTTCGGCTCAGGTCATGATCTCAGGGTCCTGAGATCGAGTCCCGCGTCGGGCTCCCTGCTCAGTGGGGAGCCTGCTTCTCCCTCTGCCTTCTGCTCCCCCTGCCTGTACTCTCTCTCTGACAAATAAATAAAATCTTAAACAAAACAAAACAAAGGCAAAACCATAATGAGAGAAATCAGATCAGTGGTTGCCAGGATCTGGGGGTGGGCAATGAAGATTGAGTGGAAAGGGAACAGTTTGGAGTGATGGAAATGTTTTGTACCTTTATTGTGGTGGTGATTACATGACTACACACGTGTGTCAAACTTTATCAAGCTGTGCTCTTAAAAAAGATGGATCACGGGGCGCCTGGGTGGCTCAGTCAGTCAAGCGTCCGACTTCTGATTTTGTCTCAGGTCATGATCTCGGGGTCATGAGAAGGAGCTCTGCGTCAGGTTCCACGCTGGGCATGGAGTCTGCTTGGGATTCTCTCCTTCTGCCTCTGTCCCTCCCCCTGCTTGCTCTCTCTCTCTCAGAATAAATAAATAAGATCTTAAAAAAAAAAAATAGGAAGGCAGAGTTACTATGTGTAAATTACTCCTCAATAAAGCTGATTAAGAAGAATTAATGAATTAATATATAAAATCTTGGCGGTGAATGAGATCATTAGAGAGGGGGAGATGAGAGGGGAGAGAGCCCGGGACCATGAACTGAGGAAATCCAACATTCAGAGGTTGGGGAGAGGAGAGGGAGACTCAGAAGGAGTAGGGGTAAGGTAGGAAGAAAAATTGAAGATAGTGATATCCCAGAAACCAAGGAAAGAGGGATTTAGGAGAAGGTCAATGGGCACATAGAGGGCTATCCCCGGCACACATCAAAAGATAACTGTAGGGTGCCTGGGTGGCTCAGTCGTTAAGCATCTGCCTTCGGCTCAGGTCATGGTCCCAGAGTCCTGGGATCAAGCCCCACGTCTAGGTCTCCGCTCAGCGGGAAGCCTGCTTCTCCCTCTCCCACTCCCCGTGCTTCTGTTCCCTCTCTCTCTCTCTCTCTCTGTCAAGTAAATAAATAAAATATTAAAAAAAAAATAACTGTAACACCCATTAGGATGGCTATCATTAAAAAAAGGAAAGAAAGAAAACAACAATTGTTAACAAGGATATAGAGAAATCAGGGCCCTTATGCACTGTGGGTGGGAATGTAAAATGGTGCAGCTGATGTGGAAAACAGTATGGAAGTTCCTCAGAAAATTAAGAGGGGCGCCTGGGTGGCTCAGT